AGAGAGAGAGAGAGAGAGAATTTTTTTAATATTTATTTTTTAGTTCTCGGCGGACACAACATCTTTGTTGGTATGTGGTGCTGAGGATCCAACCCGAGCTGCACGCAAGCCAGGCAAGCGCGCTACCGCTTGAGCCACATCCCCAGCCCTATTTTGTCTATTCTAAGTCCCTTGCATTTCTATATGAATTTTAGGACTAGCCTGTCAATTTTACAGTGGCAGTTTAGGAATACATTTTTTTTTAAATCACCCTATGCATTTATTTGTTTATTTTTTAAGTTAAAAGCAAATTCATCAACCAGGGTCCTTACCTTTAGAGTTCTGACCTTGGAGATCCCAACATTCTAGGCATATTACTATTATATGGGGGCGGGGAGAGACAGTCAGTCAGACACACACACACACACACACACACACACACAGAGAGACAGCTATCAGTACTGTTTCCTGGCCTTTGTAGGAGAAGCCCGTCCCTTCTCACTGAAATCTTTGTGGTTTATTGTCTAGGAAAAGACAGGGAAAATTCCCCCAGCCCACCCCACCTTTTTTTGCTATGATGAGGATTAACCAGGACCTCATGCATGCTATCATTGAGCTGAATCTCCAACTCTAAAATTTTTTTTTTTTTTTTTGTATTAGGGATTGAATGCAGGGACACTTAACCACTGAGACATATCTCTAACCCTTTTTAATTTTTTTTTTTTTTTTTGAGACAGGATCTTGCTAAGTTGCTTAGGGCCTTGCTAGTTGCTGATGCTGGTTTTGAACTTGTGATCCTTCTGTCTCAGCCCCCTGAGTTGCTGGATTACAAATGTGAGCCACCATACCTGGCCTGGAAACACTTTTCTAAATATATGATTGTTTAAAACATTGTTCTTTTTAATGTTTTGCATATTTTTGATGCATTAATGTTTTTAAGTTTGCTAACATAGTTTCAATTGTATTTTAACATTTTAAAGTTATATTTTGTTTTCTGTTAATTAAGTTTTGAACGTAGCCTTGTTTGTGGCTATTTAAAAAAACATTTTTCTATGCTGAAAATTGAACCCAGGGCGTAATGCATGCTATGCAAGCACTCTACCACTCTACACTCCAGCCCAGTTTGTAGCTATTTTCTGAATATTTTTGTAATATTTTTGATGTTCCCTAAAGTTTGTCCCTATTAGGAATGTGAATAAACGTGAATATCTGAAATCTAGAGAGAAATGAAAATGTAATTTGTTTTAGTCTTTGCCTGTTTTCACTGTTGAGAACAAATAGTAAAATAGACTGCATTTCATTTTATTTCCCATTCTGAAATTGAGGCTGGAAGCTCAAAATTGGAGCTTGAAAAACTTTAGAGGAATCTAAACGAGCTAGGAAAATCTAGGAACTAACTAAATAACCAGCTTCTGGGAATTTGATAGTAGTATGTTTAAAAAAACTTAAAAATTTACATAATTCAGGGTCATTTATGAAATAATTCCTTAAAATTGAGAAATTAGGGCTGGGGATGTGGCTCAAGCGGTAGCGCGCTCGCCTGGCATGCGTGCGGCCCGGGTTCAATCCTCAGCACCACATACAA